CAATATTAACATTTATATTGTTAATATATTATATTTATTTTACTAATTTGTGACAATATGAACATGCTTTTTTTCATGTAGTACCACTTTTACAACATTGGATAATATTTAGGATTCAAACTGATAGCACCAAATCTTCATGCCAGATTATGTACTAGGACCAGCTTTAGAAACACAAAAACAACATCTTGATGATCTATTCAAATAATATTTTTGGCTGCTGAATAAGTTCTTTGAGTTTTTGCTTTATGATACATAAACAAGTCTGGACACATGAAACATTCAGATCAATCTGCATGTGATAAATGAAAGCTCAAGACAGGCAATAAGCACCCTAGGTAAGTACCTAAGTGATTATTTCATCAAGACAGCAAGGTATTATTTTGGTTTTTGTTTGTTAAGTAACTATTTAATTTTTTTACTTTTTTTTGTACATTGGGATATTTCCACCTGGCTGGCTATCCGTTTCTTTCTAGAAGCAATATTTGTTCCAGAATCAGGTCTTTGTCCGCAATGTTTCGATTTTTTGCGATTTGTCTGGATTCAAAATGAATCTTTGCTATTACTTATTAATAAAATTGGAATAACCCATCTATTATCATATAATAGGCGATTATGCTTATATGGAACTATATGTTGTAGGGAGAAATTATGATTTATTTTTTGGTCAATAACTAATAAGTTATCTAAGTGTGTTTTTTTCTGGTCTAGAATATCAATATTCCTTTTAGTCGAAAGATAGGAAGGTTTGGTTATATAGTTAATAATTAAAATTAATTAATTTAAATGCGTTATGATTGTGTATGTAGCATAATTATACTGTTTATTATTTATTTATACTGAATATTATTTATTCACATCTTTTCAACAAGATACAAAAAATTTAATGGAGGATGCTAATTTTTATGAATCTCTTTATTGCTGTATAACACTTTGCCTGTACGTACTGTACCGTCTCGTTTTTGGTTTTTCTTCCATAGAGGCTTTTGCCAGATAGTAAATATCAGTTAATGGCTTAGGAATGAACTGAAAATTCAAAATCGAAGCAGTTACGATTAAAGACATTGGACCAATACTAAAATAGCTTGATAAAATTACCTTTAGTTTGCTGACACAGAATTCGAATGGAATGTTTCCTGTGCTTGGGTCGACGGCGATGCGCATAAATTCTGATACTTCTTCCTAATTTGAATGAAACAAAAATGCCATTAACAATATTCGCACGAAAACTTTTTTAATTGGTTGTTTAAAATTACTTAAGTATAAATTTATTATACTTATTATTAACAATTAGACAGCGTTATAGCATTATTCCATACCCTATCTTCTACAGTAATGTCGATCAATTTGGCAAAATAATTCAACTCGATTCATATTGATGTCATATATTTTTAACTTTTCTGTGACAATGTTATTCAATTACACAAAAAATCGAAATCATAATTGTTTGTATCGATTTACCATGCTTTTGGAAAACGGCTTAGATAGTTTGGGTAATCACAAAACCATTACAACCGTATTTTTTAGTAAAAAAACATTGATGGACATTTTTCGTCACTGTTGCAAATGCATGTATTACCTCTGATAAAACTTCTCCTTGCGTTGTGAGCAAATTTTTTAAATAATCGGGTGTAAGGTAGCCCTTATTTTCAACGTCTATTGCTTGAAATCCTCTCAAAGTAATTCTGGAGCAGCTGGTTTGAATCTGTTTTTCATGTATAAAAAGAACAAAATTAATAACTTTAAGGCGGTAACAAATTACAATTTTATACATGGGATTTAACCCTTTTTGGTAGTTTGTAGTTTTTTTATAACATAAAATATAAAACATATTTACTGTTACTTTGCTTATTATGCGGAATAAATGATAATACATTTAATTTTTTTTACATTTTTTAAATTAATATCGCATTAATGTAGAATTTTAACTTCCCGAAGGGGAAGTTTATGTTTTCATAAAAGAATCCGATTCGCTCATACTACCGAATCGAATTTTAAAAATCAAAACTGTTCGAAAGATATTAGTTGAGAATGATATTTATTAGTTTTAGGTGAGGTTGGAATGATACTGATTACTTTTAGGAGAAAATCTACCGAGCCATATTCTTGTAATTAACTGTTAAAAAAAATTTATGCCGATTTTTATGGAACTTTTTTTTGGCGATATATATCATGGTCAAAGTTTAATTTTAAAAATTCATCAAAGTTTGAGAAAATGAGTAGTTTTTTTGACGTTTGTTAAAATTTAAATTAGACTATTCACTTGGTATAACGATAGAGTATACTTGGTATTAATGAACATACTAAACCATTGAAGTCCTACGGAAACTGGTTCAATTATAAAAATTATTGATTCGTAAAAATTTGCTTATAGAAAATACTCCGAGCTAACGTGTTCGTTCGTTTTCAATTATAGGCAATAATACTCATTACAGGAAATATACTCATAAATTAATTTATTACAGGCAATAATACTAATTACAGGCAATTATACTCATAAATTATTTATTTTTTATTGCTTAAGTCGATTATTTACACATATCGGGAAGTTCATGTAACTTGCCTCAACTCAAGTTACAAAAATACCAATAATAACTAGTTACGTTTTTAGTTGAAATTATAACAGATACATAAAGAAAATTGAAAATATTATTTATTTTAAGCAGCAGTCTTGCAATACCTTCCAAGTAATATCATTTCAAACATGAATGGCAAGAAATGGGCCAAATGAACAATGTTCGGAAATTCACGTTCTGTACATTTTGTTGCGATGAATTGCAATTCTTCTTCCGTCGGAACACATCCTGAAGTAAAAACCATGAATCGGGTCAAATATATTTATTATGAAATATGTATATAAAGCTTTAATTTTTTTGGTTTTGAAAATATAAAGCTTATCTAAAAGAGTTGAAACTTCGTTGAAAAAAAATTATCATTCTTTCTAAAATTATTCTTTTAATATTTTTATTTATCACATTGCTTAAAATAATTAAATATGGGAAATTATCCAAATTTATAAAGGGTTCAAAAATTTTATATATGTACTAGATTACACATGTTTGAATTTATAGCAACGGATTTGTCCCATTTATCTGTTTGAACAATATATAATTCACATTTTGCTTTAGCGAAACTGTTCACTTCAGCATAAAATATTTCTGAAAGAATTTTTTTATAGTTCTAATAATAATTTTTGACACGTTACCTAAACCACGTACAATAAGTGGTAAATCCGTGATGGAAACAGTTTTATTACCGTAGTTATCAAATGGTAGAAATATACTAGCCACTCTTTGATCGAACTCATTTGCAAGAATCACTGTAAAATGATTTATAAATAAAATTAGATAAATAATTTAAATAAATGATATATACTCTTATTCATAATAACGACAAATAAGTACTTAACTACTCTACTCTACTTACTAACGTACTCTATTTTCTATAAATTAGTTTTTATATTTTAATGAATTAATAATTCGTAACAAAATGTTTGTATTTACCAGGAATTTCTTCTTGAATTTCATCATCCTTTTTTTAAAATTAAATTATAATTTTATGTGAATAATAATTGACAAGAAAAAAAAACAATTGCAATATATTTTTCTCACTGATGTATACAATTTCTGATATTTTAATTATTAATTTAATTTTTTTATATAGTTTTATTTAGTTTATCATAAAAAAATGATTTATTTAGTTAATTTTCTCATTTTTGTTGTGTATTTTCAGCCCACGAATGTAATTCTTGAATCTGCTGCAATACAGCGGACTTTGCAGTTCCTCCGATTGATGAGTACTGGTCCACACTATGCTCAAAATCCCAAATTTTATATACGGATGTTTCGAAAGCAGGACTGTAGAAACAACATTGGAAATTATAATAAATACATCTAAACGAAAAAAATAATATTTATACCTAATTTTTTGTAAATCTGACAAGCTCAATTGGTGAAGTGGAATCTGGAGCTTTTCAGCCATTGCCACTGCCTCGCCCGTTAACTTATGAGCTTTCCTAAATGCTACACCGCGACCAGTTAGATAATATGCCAAATCAGTAGCCAACATATCCGTCGTTAGAGCACTACGGCAAACATCAGCGTTTATCTGAAAATAAGTGAAATATGCTATTAGTTACTAGTGTCCTTAAATACCCAAACGAGTGTTGAACAAATGTAAATTTTCATGATTTTAATTCCGAATTATTTATATTATGTTTTAAACATACTCTGTGAGGCACAGACTATTTTATAAACAATGTCTCAGTTTGCATCGAAAAGTTGAATAAATTACATATAGCAGTGATAAACAGTGTTGTATTTTGAATTTTTTTTTAATATTTAAAACGACCGAGTGCTTTTAAATAAGGCAAATGACTTGTAAATTTTGTGAGTTAGGCAGTAGTGAAGATGAGTTTCAAATAGACATTCATACAGACAAATTTTACGAAATTACTATTTGCACCGAAGATAGTGACGAATTTGATGATGGTGATATTATCCAACCAACAAAAAGAAGAAGAAGTTCAACAAATTAAATGAAGAGTGGAAAGACATTAGCGAATGTGCCGATTCTCCTTCAATAATCGAGTTTGACATACATCAACAAACACCCCGGCTACAAATACCAAGCAATATAAGACATCCAATAGATTATTTTACTTTATATTTTACAAATGAATTATTAGACAACATAATAGAGAAAACAATCCATTATGGCAGCAAAAAAATGAACAAATATACTGACTAATCAGTGGCATATTCTAAATGCGAGAGAAAGAAAAAGGGATTGTATTACTGATAGAAAAGCACCAGGAGGAAGGCGACGAACAACATCTTATTGTAAATCATGTCAAAATCAACCAGCTATGCATTTTGAAAATTATTTTGAACGTCAACGTTCTTTATAAAATGATCACCTTTAATGATCCTTCAATATCTTTCAATGATCACTAATTTTTATCAGACAAATTGCATAACATACACAATGAAATCAAGTTTACAGCTGGTACAGTAGATTGTTTTGAAATCGGTGCCGTCCCGTAAGTGTTAAATATATATTGATGATATGATGGTGCGTCACAAGAAGAGTGAGAAAAATTGAACGGCACCAGAATAATGTTCCTAAAGATAAGTCTTGGTATGCATGGTATCTTGTCGTGTCGCTCATATCTTTTCTTACTTTTCGATATCAGTTTTGTTGAGTCGACTGGTATTTCTACCCAACCGATATCGACGATTAAATTCAAATATTTCAAAAAAAAAAAAAAATTATGTTGACCTTCCCATTACCGTTATTGATGCGGTGTTGGCATGTACATCTGCACCTTCAGCATGCATTTATTTAATACATAATACCCAATATAATACATACATATCAACATACCATAGACAAGTGCCCATGGGCCAAGTAAAAAGTTCGTTTCGTTTATTTAGTGAAACTCAACAAGTTTTTTTTATAGCAATTTATTTTTCGAGTGGAGCCATGCGGTGAAGAACTTCTGTGGTTTCTGGTTGAAAAACTTAATCAAGTCCTTTTTGCAAGTTTTTTTTTTTTAAATCAGTTTAACCCCTTCACTTAAAATGATGAGCAGAGCCCGCGTGCGATTTCTAGGCCAAAAGTGAATATTACGGGCAAGGCCGCGTACGATATTCAGGCTAGAACCAAATATTACGCATTTCGGGCATGGCCCGTTATGGTAAACGCAAGTATTGCAAAATATTTATTCATACGAAACTATAAAATACAAAATTATTTTTATTTTTGTGATAAACCGTACACTATGAGGGAAAATAGTCATAACGCCGCGGCCAGCTTGAACGACTTTGGGCCGACATTTTCGAATCTAAATCGTAAGTAAAGGGGTTAATTCCATTAAGATAGTTTTGCAGAGATTGGAACAAAATTTTGCCAGATAGTACTATGTTTGGAATATACGGTGGATGCATAATCATTTCTGAACTAAGCTTTCGCAACTTTTGGCGGGTCACAAGTGTATGGTCGGGCTTTGTCATGATGGAAGACAATATCTTCAATTTAAGTTTTTTTCTTCCAATTGCTTGGCGTTCTCTTTTATTTAGAGTAGGATTGATAATTAATGGTCTGACCAACTGTAAGTACCTCATGATTGACAATTACCTTCCAGTCAGTCCCACCATCAACGCAACATCACCTTTTCCAGTGTCATTCCTGACTTGTAAACGTTTGTCATCGCTCACCACCACTAAACTATGATTTATTTTGCCTCCGATTGTCGTATATAATCTACCTTTTCTTATCAGTTATGAAAAGTTTCAGAAATGGTTCGATTTCATTGTATTTCAGCAGCGTATCGCAGACGTTTATTCGGTCTATCAAGTTCTTCGCGCCCAATTCATGAAGCTTCCTTTCATCGAGCTTTCTTTTGTACATAGCTTATGTAATTGGTTCAACACAGTTTTCCGATCAATGGCTAGTTCCCTCCTGCATTTATAGAATTTTATCAACTTTTTAGTGATTCGACGACATCTTTCACATCAAAATTACCAGAACGAAAGGGAGCGAACCATTTCCGAACAGCAGATTTTGATAAAGTACCTTAACCTTATACTGCATAATTTTTTTCACAATACTGCGCAGCGTTCTTCCCTCTATCATAATAATATTGGAAAATATAGCGATTTTTTTTATTAGTTTTCTCCATTTTCAAACACAAATAACTTTTCAACCACTTGACAAATTTTTTTATTATACCATCAAAATAATGCTCAAAGAACCTTTCTAACGAGGGTTCACTGGTGCCGCTGCGATCTGAACTTCCTGAAGTATTTATAACGACGGAAAACGACACGAACTTTTTACTTTACCCAATATGTATTATAAGGTCTATGATTTTGATTTATATACATGTAGCGACCTGTCAACACACATCGCATTTTAACTTGACAGATGTTCATTATTTGAAGCTCATCATAGTGTCAGCTCAAAACAAAAAGTTCAAGTGTCAGATCAGATCTCGTTTTTGTTTGCTCCATGTTCGAAATGCCAAAATTATAATTCTTGACTTTTTTTCCTTTTATATAAATACTCAAATAATATCTACGTTGTGTAAATGATAAATATAATCACACATAGTGTCATTACCATTGTCATAATAAACAATATACGTAGTATAAAGAACACGAGTTTCTTTAGTGGTGACCGCGAACGTGAATTAATAGCACGCATATAGAAGGAAAGAAGGTAAGAAGATCAAGACACATTTAGAAGTAACAAAAAAATAAATTGAAGTCTCATGAATTATTAAAAAAAGAATTTTTAAAAAATAAATAATGAATATAAATGGCTCACAACCGCCATAACTCGAAGAACATTCTAATCCTACAACTGAGACTCCGACCACGCACATCCAGAACAACAACAACACGTGCTCAATAAATCCCTCATTATCCTGGAAAATGAGTCGATTATGAGCACCACGGCAGAGGACAGGGAGCACCAACAAACATCGGCAACCGCCATTCAAAAGGGCCACATATACTCAACCGCTAACTCACCAGCGAAGGGCCACATATACTCAACCGCTAACTCACCAGCGAGGGCCACATACACTCAACCGCTAACTCACCAGCGAAGGGCCACATACACTCAACCGCTAACTCACCAGCGAAGTGTCAAATATACTCAGCCGCTAACTCACCAGCGAAGGGCCACATCTACTCAACCGCTAACTCACCAGCGAAGGGCCACGTAAGCAATCAACAAACTCAACAAGCCAACACGGCATTCAAAACGGCCACGGCCACGAACAAATAAAATTATCACACAATCTCAACCAAAAGAAATTTACAAGGAAGTTCAAGATGGCACTCAGAGATGCGAAACAATCTTTTTCATTAGGGCGGAGTGATCTGTAGCGACCTGTCAACACACATCGCATTTTAACTTGACAGATGTTCATTATTTGAAGCTCATCATAGTGTCAGCTCAAAAACAAAAAGTTCAAGTGTCAGATCAGATCTCGTTTTTGTTTGCTCCATGTTCGAAATGCCAAAATTATAATTCTTGACTTTTTTTCCTTTTTTATAAAATACTCAAATAATATCTACGTTGTGTAAATGATAAATATAATCACACATAGTGTCATTACCATTGTCATAATAAACAATATACGTAGTATAAAGAACACGAGTGGCGGAGTGATGTAGCGGTTGCCAACACGCATCGCGGCTTGTCAACACGCATCACATGTCTCTGGACAGATTGGCCCATATAGTGACAGCACTGAGAAAAACAAAAGGAAATTCAAGTGTCAGATCGGACACGGTTTTTGTTTCTCCCTAGTCGAATTTGCCTAAAATGTATGATTCTTAAAACCTTTCTTTTCAATTATAAATACGAAAATACCAATAACATTTTATTAACGATTAGTATGACAACACATAGTGTCGTGGATATTAATCATATATAAAATAAACGAAATATAAATATATTTTATGAAATTTTATTATTGTCTATCTTTGGTATTTAATATGGACTAAGCCTCCATATACAGTACAGGCCAAAAGTTTCCGGACACATGAAAAATCTCATTTTCTGAGTTTTTAGCTATATTTTGCATATAAAAATAATTTTATTCAAGTTAGTTTTGTACATTCTACGTAGTATTAATATTTAGTGACTGATTTGTAACCCATTTGTGAGAAATGACGGACTAATTAGCAATGAAAATGTTAAAATGTCACAGTCGATTTTCCTGAATATGACCACCCTTTGCTTTGATCGCTGCAGCGCATATTTTTGGTAATCTTTTGACAAGTTTTTGCAATGTTTGCGCAGGTATGTTCTTCCAGGACTCGTTAAGGCAATTCCACAGGGCAGCAAGGCTGGTTGGATGCAAATCCTTCAAGCGGCATTTAAGCTCGTCCCACAACAGCTCTATTGGATTAAGATCCGGCGATTGTGCAGGCCACTCAAAAAACCACTTCTGCGAGCAGTAAATAAACAAAAGAGATTGCAATTTGCCAAAACCCACTTAAATTGGACCATCAATCAATGGAAATCAGTTTTATGGACGGATGAGTCAAAATTCGAACTTTTCGGAAATCATCGACGTAGGAAGGGTAATGAAAGACTCAATTCTAAGTGTATTTCGACAAAGGTGAAGCACGGTGGTGGTTCAGTGATGGCTTGGGGTTGTTTTGGATTCAATGGAGTCGGATCGCTTGTCAAAATACATGGAACTTTAAAGAAAGAACAGTATCATAGCATACTTGAGCGCCACGCCATTCCATCTGGTTTCAATTTAATTGGTCCAAAATTTATTTTTCAACAAGATAATGACCCTAAACACACTTCCCGACTCTGTGCCAATTATTTGAAGCGAAAACAAGATGAAAAAATACTTCAAATAATGGATCTTAATCCAATAGAACTGTAGTGCATTTGTCTGACTGATTTGCATCCAAGCAGCCTCCCTGCCCTGTGGAATTGCCTTAACGAGTCCTGGAAGAACATACCTGCGCAAACATTGCAAAAACTCGTCGAAAGATTACCAAAAATATGCGCTGCAGTGATCAAAACAAAGGGTGGTCATATTCAGGAAAATCGACTGCAGTGACATTTTAACATTTTCATTACTAATTAGTCTACTGTTTCTCACAAATTGGTTAGAAATCAGTCACTAAATATTAATACTACGTAGAATGTACAAAACCAACTTGAATAAAATTATTTTTATATGAAAAATATAGCTAAAAAACTCAGAAAATGAGATTTTTTTCAAGTGTCCGGAAACTTTTGGCCTGTACTGTACATAACTTACAAATGTTATGTCAAGTATGGAGATATTAATTTTACTTTTATTAATTAATATTTACCTTCATAGTGCAAATGCATCCAGTAATCACTTGCAAAACATCACGTAAACTATCGTAGGCTGAAAACATCGCCAACTTATCTCCTTGTAAGTCCTTATTGTATGTTGACGGTAATCCTTTTAAAGTCATCATGAATCCACAAAGCTAAAATATTATTTTTATTGGTAAACATTTGTGAAATAAAGAATTATTATGAAATAAATATTATAATCAATGGAAAAAGACATCTCTCATATATACGTCTTATTTATCAGACTTGACCGTCCGAAAACTAACTACGTTATTTTATAGATGACAATCCAAACAGTTGTCCTCTCATCAAGTGATCAATTTTATTATAACAATTTCTGTAAAGGAGTTTTATTTGTTTTATTGTTAAATGGAGTTTTATTTTAGCAATGTCGGGCAAGAGATATTTTTTACTTGGACTAATTATAAAGGTAAGAATGATTTGATTTATTTTTTTCAAACCTGGCCGAAAATTGTGCCTGACATTCCACGAACCAACTCTGCGCTATCAGGATTTCTTTTTTGTGGCATGAGACTGCTCCCAGTAGAATAACCATCATCCAGGGATATAAAACGAAATTCTTTGCTGCAGAAAATTATCAGGTCCTCAGCCAGTCGACTCAAATGAGATGAACACAAAGAGCAATCGAACAGAAATTCAGCTAATAGGAAAAGAAAAAAATTAGTAAAATTCAATTGAGTCTTCCTCAGCACGTATGTATAGATTATAGGAACATTAATATTTATTAAAATAATTTAATAATGTAATTTTCCAGTAAATAACGCATTATTTTTTAATAACAATAAAATGTTACAGGATGAAATACAGCTTCACCTTGAGATTCAAGTATATACATTTATAAAATGTATATAACAAGATTTAGAACATTACGAAATATTTGAAAATACAAATTTAGCCTAGATATTTTTAGATTACATAAACAAATGTGCTAATTGTGAACAAATGCCAATAACCATAATAGTATTTGTGAAAAATCTGTGTAGGACAGATTTGGATTGAAAAAAAAAAATTCATACCTATCCGTTTTTGAATATGATAATCTTTACTATAGGCAGCTAGTTAGAAGTAATTGATTAAAAATGTTTAAAGCAAAAAAGCCTTATTAAGGTAGTAAAAGGACACAAGAAAATATTTATATGTATTAAATAATGTTATTATATATATATATATATATATATATATATTAGGGTGGTCCTTAAAATGGTCATTTTTGTATTTCCTTGTTCCCAGGGGCTCAAATAGTTCCAAATTGATAAAAAACAATTCTCTAAAAGTTTTAGCTCTTAATATTAACATTTAGATAGAGCGCAATTCAATCAAACTTCGTAAGGAGCATGGAAAAAATTTATATATATATATATATATATATATATATATTTTCCCCCTCTGAACTTCATTTATAAATATTTTTTACATTTCGAGAGTTATTAGGTATTTGATTAGGACAGTTCGAGGTATTTTAGTGCAGGTGATGTACAATTTAATTTTTAGAAAGTGTTTCATAAAAAAGAGTTTAAAGTTTGTGAAGAAGAAGACATTGTATATTCACATTTTTTACATATTTTTATTTGCCTCTTTTAACAACATATAGTCAGCACTAACTTAACTTAAGGAGGAAGCCTGCTTTAGAGGATTAAAAAAATCCGCAAAATGTCTTTCAAAACTAGTTAGAGAACTAGAAACAAATTCAAATTATTTTCGGAATTATTGAAGAAATAGTGAACAAGCGTCAAGCATGAACGGAACGAAAACTTCGACGCGTGATTTCCTGTTTTTAATTTTTTCGAATCTTCCTAATTGACGGGAAAGATAGGAAACAAACTAAACGTCCCATCTAAACTACTCGATTAAATTCTATTCTAGTTGAACCTAAAAAGCTGAATATTTATAATTAACCCACTTTTTAAACAATCTAAAGTGAAATTTTGTATCAAAAACATGATTTTTATTTCAAGTTGCGAAAAATTGGTCAATTTCTCATTTTTTTGGTTTTTTTTAGGTTTAACTAGAATCTATACCATTGAAAATATATATTTGCTTTGATTGTTTTGTTTCGGATTGAAATTGTGACCTGCATCTTTCCCGTCAAATGATAGCTGCACACTCGTGACGCATGAGCAAAATGGTTGTATCCGGTATATTATAGCATATATTTTAAGGAAAAAAATTGAGAAGAATGTTGAAATATATTACAATAAAACGTAAAAGTTTCGTTTGAATTAAATATTTATTTACTTCCCTAAAAATTCTTAAAAAAGCGATTTTTGAAGCCTCTAAAGCAGGCTCCCTTCTTAAGGGGGTCTTCCTATGTGATAGGTTGAAAAAAACAATTTTTTTTCATAAATTGCTGCGATTTAGAAAATTCGAAGTCGTTTTAAAGGTACAGCAGGTAAAAGAAAGAGTGGTTCGCTTAGTTTTTAACGGACTTGTAATTTTAAACGCGTTTTTCTCAAAACTGTGTTTTTCAAACTTTCCTCCATTGTATCTCAGAAACTGCTGGACCGAATTACTTGAAATTTACAGGGCACACTCAATATATTTAAACGCATGGAATGAACTATTATCAATTTTCGATTTTTTTATAGCAAAAAAACAAAAAAAACGCCTAATTTGCAACTTTTATTTCAAATGTCTATCAAAAATCCAATTTTTGTTATATTCATTTGATTATAGGTCATTCCGTGCTTTTAAGCCTACAAATTAAAACGCCGTTTATTATTTTTTTCAGATAAGCCGATCAGCCGGAATCGTGGAGGAAGTGGGAGCTTTTTGTTCGAGGGCGGGGTGTTCAGAGCGCTGTAACTCTAGTTTGACTGAATATTTTTAGCTGAAATTTTATATTTATCCAAATATGTGTTAATAAATGATAAAAGCTTGAAGCTCTAAATATTTACTGGTCGTAGAAAAAAAAATCCTAAAATATCCATAAAAAACAGGCCGTCACATAGGAAGACCCCCTTAACTTCGGTATCTATTCCGAGGATCTCTGGCGAGCAAGTCGGACATGCTGTATTTCTAAATTTTAATACTCTACCGACAAAGTCCCGATCAGATACGGTATGCATGCTATTCATTGTCGGGCCGGAGTCAAATCCAAGATCTTCAGCCAGCGCTTTCCTATCCACTTTGAGAGGATTTCCCGCCAATGCGCCGCTTCCTAACGGACACATTGCCACGCGCTTCCGCAAATCTCGCAGTCGTTGATGGTCGGACACCAACGGCCAAGCATGGCTAAAAGTTGGAGCAAACTACACTTCTAGGTAACTAATTACGATCTATAAAGGGCATGGACGCTGATTATTAAAGGTGACTTAGTGACTTATTTATATCTAAATGCTTCAATTACACAAGTCCACAAATTAAAAAAAAGAGTGCGCGTAAGGTTCACACGCGATTGAAGTAAAACTATTTTGCTATTGTACAAGATGGCATTTACGTTAAAAATAAAACATTATATAACAATTTTGAATTTATTAATGTCAATCATTATATATATTCATATAATAATAATTTACAAATTATATATTTATAATAGCATTAAAAATATTTATAATAATTGAAAACAATAATGTAATTAAAGTCATACTTCAAATATGACATGATCGGTTTTGCCATTGTAACTAGCAATCAAGACTTAATTTCCTTATTGATGCCGGTACGCATACAACGACAGATCTCTATTCACACGACACGACGTCTAATCACAATCGAACAGTATAGAAATGATTTCATCGAGAGCGAATGACGAACTGTTCGGGCGTAACGCTATTTTCGTTGCATTTGTACAGATTTACTCCATAGTCGCGCCTAAAGAAGTTTTACTTCAAAAAAAAAATGTCTGGTTGGGTTTGCGGCATGTTTTCTAGTGTAGTTTTTACTGCTGAACACGAATCTAAAGTCAAAATTGGGGGTTCAAATAGCAAAAAATTGAAATGGAAATCAGGAAAAACGACAAAATCTTCGATCTAGTAATTCTTATGCATGATACTTAAAACCTTATAATTTTAGTCGTTTCTGGAAAACATCTGACGCACAGTTAGCCAATAGAGGTAACTTTTTTTACTCTGTGGACCTGTGTTCTCATTAAAAAGTAATTGTGTACTTAAATATTTTCTATGATCTAGATTTAATTCTGTTTCTAAATTTTAGGTAAAGCAATAGGCTTTCGAATGATTTTAATTAAAAAGTAGTCTAAACAACCGCACTGGTAGAAAATGAAAAATATGAATGTTTTCTTGTTTTAGCACTAACAAATCCTTATGTTAATGAGCTTAAAATTAAATTTTTTTCTTAAATTTAGTTTAAATATTTACATTTCATTTACCTAACCTAAGTAAAATAAGATTACTGTATCTTAAGTTGAATTTATTTGATTTTTAGAAGATGTTCAGATAATTCTACTTATTATTATTGGCAATATTAATTTTGAATTTCTATTTACGTATGTTTTTATATGTATTTCATGAATCAAGTCTTCGTGTAATAACTGTATGCCTTCTGTATGCAAATAGCTATTTTTAGAAACTTTACTTATTTTATGTTAAGAATGAAAATTTTATAAAGAATGATAGTATGTTAAAAACGTTTGTATTAAACGTTAATTAACATTTTGTTCATCACCTCAATTGCTGATGATTTAGAAATAGTCACAAATAATTTAAATCTATATTTTTAATGAATTGAAATTACAAATTACTATAATTATTAGTTTGATTCAATGTTAACTCTTGACTATTTGATAATACAGATTTATTAGAATAGTGCCTTCAATAGTTCATGTTTCATATATTACCATAGTTATTATTATTATCATTAAAATATTGTTAATATTATAACAACTATTGCCCCTTTACGGCTGACAATTGTAAATTTCACAAATTTACTAAATATTCTTAACTGGTAGTAAGTAAAATAGAGAATAAAAAAATATTACCTCAAAAGCCAATGACTAAATCTAACCGGTTGTCCTCTTTGCAAATGAGTGTAACCTGGCATGAGTACATCTATACATTCAGTAGATTTTTTCTGGAGTGCCTGAATATTATAAAACGTACTATATATATTTTATAAAAAATATAATATATTAAATATATTTTATGGTAATCTTATCATTGCTACAGAATGCAATTAAAGGATTTAAAAAAATAGTCTTTAGACTAAAGTGCCAAGATATATTGAAATCCATAACAAGTATGAGATAGAGATACCTTGGTATGGGAAATATTCAATGCTTTACTATATTTTCAATACAGATGACTCCGATTTGATTCTTGCATTAAATTTAACTTTGAAAAGTTGTGGTATCTTGCAGACGTTATAACTTCGGTTTAAATCATGCCAAACATATTTCTAAGGCTAAAGATTGTTGATCAGTGAAGTTAATGATGAGTAAAATAGCCAGACTCATGAATAGTAATGAGTATTGATTTATTTTAATATTGAAAAAAAAAGAAATAAAATACCTGGACAAAAACGGCAATAGTTTTTTGTAATTCTGATATGTTTTCCAACATCCATAATTTCATATCTGTTACAACTTGATCGTTTCGGCTTCGTCCTGTGTGCAATTTTCCTCCAATTTCTGACCCTATATAATTTATAATTTATATTTATATTTATTTATATTTATTGTTATTATAATAAGTTTATAAATCTTAATAGTTGATGTTTGCTTCTATATATAGGGATCATAAAATGGGAAAATATAAATATATTTATATTTTTATGGTACAAAATAATTGTGATAGGTAAAAAATTATGTATGGGAGCATAAATCAACTATTATGATTCAAATAAGAAAATAAAGATCAAGTGAAAAACACTTTTTTTATTATTATTTATTTATCGTGCTTGCTTTTATAGAAATTTGTTTTATCTCTAACAAACTTTTTTTTTAAATACGTTTACGTAATTTTTTTATAATTACCAATTAATTCCTTTACTCTCCTTTCGTTTACTGTATGAACATCTTCATCTGATTTCAAAAACGATATTTTTCCATTTTCCCATTCTTGTAGCGTCTGTTTAATCAGATTGTAAATTTAATTATCAATAATTTCTCAACTTAATTGGCAAAATTAAGATATATGGAAAAAATATTTTTACTATCGAAATTTGAAGTGCGCTCTGAATTGTTATAAAATAGGCTACCACTATTTTCAGAACACCTCTCTAATATAATACGTACTTTGATATATTGCATAAAATTTAGTCCTTTTTATATAATCAAATCAAAGTAATGAAATACTAATTTTGCAATATTTTTTCATTATTAACCCTTTCCACTCGCGAATTCCGAGATTTATATAAATTTTGGCGTCGGAGCAGCGGCATCCGAGTGCAAAGGGTTAAGTTTTCATTGCGGCCTTTAACAATAATATTTTAACTAGTGATGCCATGGCATCGTGCCTTAAGGCAAATTGCTGGAAATTCCCGAACCGAAAACTAAATTATTAAAAAAAACTTGATAAAGAAAAATTTGATTTTTTTATATTTTGATTTGATTGCTATTTGATGGCATTTTGATTGATTTATTTTGAAAGTTTTGAACATTTTCTTAAGCAATCGCACTGCATAGCAGATTTGGAGTCCAAATATCAAAGCGCAAAAGCGCCGCGTAGTCTAACGTGTAACATTGGTACTGCACCCATATGAATGTACACAAAATTTGTACTTATATATAATCTTCATAAAATATCTGATAATACAATGTACATCTGTCTAATGTTCAGGTTTTGTTTTTTTTGCATTGTTCAAATCGGTTAATCCGTGTTCGCGAAATCGTCGACGAAAACTTGTATCCGCACAGACACACGCGCGCACACACACATATACATCCATATTTTCCAAGGTATGCCAAAATGTTCAGAATCCTCTGAAATCTGAAAGATATATAAAAATTCTCATTTTCGATTTTTTGCGATTACCATACGGGAAGTTAATTACAGAGCGCTCACAATTATCAATAATGTTTATTTCATTTGACTATGAACTCAATTATATAAAGTTTAACTATAAAAAATCGATCGAGATGATATAACGATATAATACTGATGTTCAGCGCAACTAAAAGGGCTGTTCTAATCTATTAAGAGACTTACCAAATTCAATCCTTTTTTTAAAATAGTTTCTTCTTCCTGTGTTATTATATTGGCCTTTTTTAAAGCAGTTGCGTACGCAATACTTCCTTTAATATCTTCTTTGTAGAGCCTCTTATCAATACTCAAAGAGCGATTTAGAGATTCCAGGCATTCTGCTGGTCCTGTGGAAAAGCGTCCACCCCCAAAGCCTTCCTTCCTCACCACATTCTTTTTTATCCATAACTTAAATATTTTATTAAAAATTTCACTTTATTTTTAGGTAATTTTTT